CGCTGATGATTCAGTGTCAGTAAATGTTAGTTTTATCAGCTGTTCTTCTGTAGAGTCTCTGTTCTAGTGCGGTTCTGCGCTCTTCCTCACAGTAACTGAGATCTTCCTCGTCTCCTCTTCTGTAGAGTCTCTGTTCTAGTGCGGTTCTGCGCTCTTCCTCACAGTAACTGAGATCTTCCTCGTCTCCTCTTCTGTAGAGTCTCTGTTCTAGTGCGGTTCTGCGCTGGATTTGAGGGTCTGTTTTTCTAACAAACAGCAGAACGTCATAATACGTTTATTTTCAGGGACCCACAAAAATTTGAGACATTTATCTACAGTCTGGTTCTTCAAGGGTTCTTCAGTAAACACAATGGTTCTATATAGATAAACTTTGAGCTCTATGCAGAATTTTCATGTTTATACAGTTCTCCGCATGGTGAAATGGTTCTTCATGTGTTGTATAGGGTTCTATATAGAACTTTTTTGAAAATGCTTCTATACAGCATTACAAAGGGTTCTGCTATTGTGACAATGTCAGGCTTGTAAATTTTTGGTGCTCTATAGAACCATATACAACACATTCCCCATCAATCTGAAGAACCATTTCACCATGCAGAGAACCATTTAAGCATTTCTGTTACTAAAGAACCCTTGAAACTAACTGAACAGGTTCATTTTTAGTAGTAGCAGAGTAAGATTGTGCGTAAAGTGTTTTTCCTGAGGTTTATAAGCCAGAAGATGAAGGTGTTGAGGTTCTTTTCACTGTGTGTTTTGTAGGGATGTAATGATACATCATACCATACTGCACAGTATCGTTGTATCATGAGCAGCATGTTAGCTTGTATCTAGAGCCGTTATATTAGCACTTTTATTTCAAATATTGTACTTTTATCACATTGAATGTTCTAATGGGCTGAAAATGGAAACAGTAACATATTGTAGGGTTCTGCCACGGGCTGGCGCTGGCGCCTGAGCCTCAGGAGGTGTGGCTCATGGTAGTGCACGCCCTCCAACAAAGGGCCTCATTAATGTTGTAGTTGTGAGTTTAAATCATGTGTCTGTGTTAATGTGTCAGTCTGTGTCAGAAAGATAATACACTTAAAAATGATGGTTCTTCACGGGTTCTTTAGTAAACAAAATGGTTCTATATAGAAGCATTAACATTCAAAGAACCAGTTCCAAGATTAAATGGTTCTTTGCATTGTAAGAGCGTTCTTCAGATTGATGGAGAACGTGTTGTAGATATATATCTACATAGAACGTCTTTGAGAAGGGTTCTATGTATCACCAGAAAGGGTTCTTCTATTGTTATGATGTCAGGCTTGGTACAATAGAAGAACATTTTCTGTACTAAAACCCTTGAAGAACCATCGTTTTTAAGTGTGTGTATATAAGAGTTAGCTTCTTATTGTCTTATTAGACTTATCGGTCAGTGCTGTTCAGTGTCCGTTACAGACAGGTGTGGTGGACAGGTGAGATGGGAGACTGAATGAGGTAGTGGAGGGGTTCTCCTGCAGGGGTTCTCTCTGTTCTAGCACACCTGATCTCACTCATATGAGTATTTTTTACATTTGGACACTTTTAATAGTTAATTTAGTTCAGTTATTATAGTTAGTTACTTGTAGTATGAATAGATTCGTTACAGTGTGAATAGTTCTGTTATAGCTAGTTTAGTTAGTTATAGTTAGATAGTTGTAGTATGAGTCATTTATTTATAGTTATTTATAGTGTAAATAGGTTAGTTAGTTAGTTGTAGTATGGATAGTTATAGTTATAGTTACAGTATGAATAGTTTTGTTATAGTTTGTTTGGTTAGTTGTAATAAGAATAGTTATAGTTATAGTCTGATTAGTTTTGTTATAGTTAGTTTAGTTAGTTATAGTTAAATAGTTGTAGTATGAGTCATTTATTTATAGTTATTTATAGTGTAAATAGGTTAGTTAGTTATAGTTAGTTAGTTAGTTGTAGTATGAATAGTTATAGTTATAGTGTGAATAGTTTTGTTATAGTTAGTTTAGTTAGTTAGTTGTAGTAAGAATAGTGTATACCTATAGTGTGAATAGTTATAGTTATAGTTATAGTTATAGTGTGAATAGTTATAGTTATATTTATATTTATAGTTATAGTGTGAATAGTTTTGTTATAGTTAGTTTAGTTAGTTAGTTGTGGTATGGATAGTGTATAGCTATAGTGTAAGTCGTTCAGTTTGTTATAGTTAGATAGTTATAGCATGAATAGTTATAGTTAGATTTTTATATATGTTATATATAATATAATTAACTTCAGTTTCTACACTGATAGATTCTCAATGGTCTAACAAGTTCCACTGTAGTTTGTTCTTTAAGTGAAAGCATATCTATGTTCCCAGGGTTCTATATTCCCAGGGTTGTGTGTTCTCAGGGCCCTATGTTCCAGATGTTCTCATGATTCCATGTTACTAGGATCCTATGCTTCCTGTTTGCTGTGAGCTGTGAAGCTGCAAGGAGCTTCAGGAGGACACGCTGATGCAGATCTGCTGCTGCTGGTTCTTCACCAGATGTGGAGCAGAGATATGAGCGAGTCATGTAGCACCAAAACCGCCCGGGGGGGGCAGAAACAGGAGAGAGAGAGAGAGAGAGAGAGAGAGAGAGAGACTCGTTGAGTTCCAGGTGTTCATCTGGTCCTGCTTTAATTCCAATCTTGATTCTTTAATTTCCTCCTCCAGTAAAGGCGCCACGCTTTTCAGGAAGCGGCGGATTAGCCGCTAGCTGATGTCAGCGCGGAGCAGAACAGCGGCGGTATCAAACGCTGACCTGCTTTCTGCTGATAAGCCACTCTCACACTGACTGAGACTCATTCTAATTCAGAATTAATTAGCGCTCTTGTGCGGAGGGGCGCTACAGTACACACATCGCAGATAAACGAGAACAACAAAGTTTAAGAGATTATTGGGACAGAACCGAATGAACGTTCAGCACCACATTAGCCCTTCGTTGCGTAACTCCATGCGCTGTGGAGGATTAGCAGGAGGAATTTAACAGCGACGGCCGGTTTCTACTGCAGCGTTTTAAACGCTGCTCGTCCAGCAGATGATGACCGAGTTCAGAGTCGACGCAGCGTTTATTCTCCACTCCAGCCGACGACGCACTCAACGATCAATACTCTCAGCACGTTATGAGGTCTAATCTCTCTGCTGTTCACACCATCATGGAAATCTCACATGCATGTTATTTTAAACGTATACGGTGAGTTGCTCTGCCCAGGCTCCGCCCACAAATGTGTTCTCTCATAGCTAATATTGTGAGGCTGGAATGCTGGTATAAAAATCCCATTCAACACAATGAGAAACTGAGGCTTCGTTCACACAGCAGGTAAAAGTGGCTCAGATCTGATCTTGTTCCTCGTGTGAGACACAGATGTGTGTCTGTGTGTCAGTGTGAACAGATAAACACACCGAATCTGACCTTTTCAATTCTGATCTGAGACGCTTTCATATGTGGTACTGAAATCTGATACGTATCCGATCTGCGGCAGTGAGACTCATGCGACTTTTCGTTAACCCGCCCACTATTCGTCATAATTTCGCGCTGCTGAGACTCATAAACATTTAGCTGATGTTTCTGTACCAAAAAATTAGAAGAGACTCATCAAGCCGCTCCGTGTTCACAGAGGTTTCGAATGAAGCGGCCGAATGGGCCAGAGGAGGCCGAGGCTGCAGGGTCAAAGAACCGTTTACAGAATCTGAGGACGCCAACCAAAGAAGTGACCGCGCCCTTTTTACGGCGAGCTGAACACATTCTGGGTGATGAGCCCAGCTGTCAGTCAGTGAAGCTTCATGATGCTCCTGTGATGCTGGTGAAGATGAAGCTGATCCTCCGGGAGCGACTGGCGTTCGTTGGCGGTCGTGATTGTTTCCCTCTGGATGAGCCGTGAAGCAGCGTGACGCCCTGTTCTTTTATACATGAGGGTCAGTTTAGGAGCTGATCTGTTCAGACTGATAAAACAGATCACATTTAAAGATAATCTGAACAGCTAAAACAAAAAAATCAGATTTGGTGAACAAATCAGATTTGGGCCACTTTTACCTGCTGTGTGTTTACTTATTGCTGTTTGGGGGAGGGGCTCATTATCGCTGGGTTGGGGGAGGGGCTCATTATCACCACATTAGCACATTACAGAATGAACCAATCACCCAGCCCCACACACAGCGCCGGGAGCGGAGAACTTCCACACACACAGCAGGCCCACCAGAGTTCCATCAGACCACCGATTTCAGGAGGACCAGATATTGGTTCTGTGTTCCGCTCCTGGGCTCGAAAACAGCTTTAACAATCGACCAAACATACCGAACTCACAGAGGAGGAGAACCTGGATCTGGAAAAAAAGTGCTAGAGTGAAAAACACCCTAAAAGTTGGTCTTGTGATCTACGATTTTTCATGAATGAATAAGCGACTCTAAATGTAGGTATTGTGATATAAACTGAGTCTGTTCTACAGTTTCTCATTAGGCTGAATGAATAACTGACTCTAAATGTAGGTATTGTGATATAAACTGTGTCTGTTCTACAGTTTCTTGTTAGGCTGAATGAATAACCGACTCTAAATGTAGGTATTGTGATATAAACTGAGTCTGTTCTACAGTTTCTCGTTAGGCTGAATGAATAACCGACTCTAAATGTAGGTATTGTGATATAAACTGAGTCTGTTCTACAGTTTCCCGTTAGGCTGAATGAATAACCGACTCTAAATGTAGGTATTGTGATATAAACTGAGTCTGTTCTACAGTTTCTCGTTAGGCTGAATGAATAACCGACTCTAAATGTAGGTATTGTGATATAAACTGAGTCTGTTCTACAGTTTCTCGTTAGGCTGAATGAATAACCGACTCTAAATGTAGGTATTGTGATATAAACTGATGTAAACCGGCTGATGAGCGAGACTCTCGGCTTTATCCAAACACAACACAGAGTCAGGAGTAACACTTTTAACAGGAGCTCCATCAGGATCTTAATAAAAACATAAACAAACCAAAAACAAACAAGTACAGCTTCCCATTTTATTGAAGGTATAATTTTTTGCTTCTGGAAAATACTTTGGCACATTAAAAAGCATCTGAAAAAGCACACACAGCTGTCAAAGCACTCCCTGTTACACTGATATATGTCTAAAGGTCTAAACTAGATTATGGAATCACAGTTTCAGTTAATAATTCATGCACAAAGCGCTTTCCATTCGTCTATATATGTATCTCAGAATGCATTATTGGTAAACACATAAATCATCTAGTATTATTTCTAGTAATGTTTTCTGTGTACAATACTGACCACATCTACTGCATACAGGTTAACAACATTTGACACAGTTTTATAGGATTATTTGTCGTTTTGAAGATGTTTACAAAATAAATACCAAAGCCCTCTGATGCAGCACAATTTTGGCAGAAATGAAAAATGCTTTTTTACACTGAGATACTGACCATAACCAGAGATGTACTGGTTTAAAAGCTAGATTTCACTGCACTGCTGTGAGCAGTCTGACAGTAAACTCTGCTCCAGTGAGATTTTCACCACCCTGAAGTCCTGAAGGTGAAGATTGGATGTGAAGCACCTGTGGTTTCTAGCAAAAGCCACTGAAATTTCGGCCACAGCCAGATGACCAACGGATATCCAGCGTCTCTGTGCACATTAGGGCCCCGCCGATAAGAAAACTGCCACCGATACCAAGGCCGATTTTAATGAACTCTAAATTCCAATGACCACTAGTATCAGCCCACGTCTTTGGGACCTGACCGGTTTTGTTTTAGTGACTGAAAAACTCTCATAAGCAGGAATATGGACCAGCATAGTTTTAAGGCCTGACTGATCATTTTAATGAGCTAGAAAATGTGCTGACTGATAATATCAATAAACTATAGGGCTTAATCTAATACAGAGACCAGTAATCCAATAAGAGACCAATAAGCTAAATATTTCAATAACCAAAAACATTAGACGATGTGATTCTGTGTGGAAATATTAAACAGAACCCAATGGTTTTAGTTTTAGTAATCAGTGCGTTGCTGACCGAAACCATGCAATTTTTATTGTTACATTTCTGAAACTCAGACAGCAGAAACTTGATATTTTGACCTTTTTAATCAAGAGAAGATGTAAGTAGGTCTAATTAATCTAGCAGAAACGCTAAACACTCTGTTTAGTGCTAAACAATAGCGTAGTTGGGTCTGCGTAACGATGTTTCCCTGTGGTGCTCCTGTTATTGCTAGAACGGTTCCTGTGTTTGACCCTCTACACTCCAACCCAAACCTGCTGACTCACTCTGTCTGATCTCCTCTGAGAAACAGTCGAAATGTGGGAATTCTGATTCAGTGTAATCCTTCATATCACAGCTGATATCATAACGCTGCTAAACAGACAGTCGAGCACTAATTTGCGCTGAAACTACAGCCACACTGGTGCTACACGGTGGCGCCGTATCAGGATCTGAATGTGTCGGAACGTCTTTGTCTTCATTCACTGCCGTCACAGCCTGATCAGTGTAATTACACTCCGCTCTGCTCGGAGCTCCCAGCGTGATCCGTTCCCGCTAATCAGTCCGGCATCTCCCAGCTGACGGTCCTGTTTCTCAGTTCAAACTCCATCATCCAGGCTGCCCTCTGATTGGTCAGCTCTTACAGCGGCACTACGTACATTCGGGGATTCGGGATTTAACATCATTTTTTTGTCTGATTTTTATGACAGTGTCCTCAGTTATTTCGACAACTTTAAAAAGCTAAACAATATCAGTCGATATAATTTTACATGGACATATTATTAGTATTATAGTATCAGTATTATACCGACTCCTGTAGCTTCAGTTAAACAGAGCTTCTGAACGAGAGCTCTACAATCCTGGATTCTATTAGAGCGAATACAGCTGGGCTTCAGCCTGCGCTACTGTGGACGGGTCAAAGGGTCAAACTGGGAAAGTGGTTTTAATGTGATAAATTATTAACGTTGCTCTTTTTTAACACGTTAACTTTGATAGCATTAATAATTATATTTAAATAGCACAGCAAAATGACAATAATAACTCCAGATTTCTAAGTACTGAGACTCTGCAGGGCTGAGTGAACCCTAATGTGGTTCATTTGAGACACTGCACAAAAGATCTCTTATCAAGTGAAAACATATTAAACATAGTTAAAATATCTTATATTTATTATTATGAGACTGTTGTAAGAATATTCTAAGATTATTCCACCTGTTTGTACATTTTTACTTGTTCTGAGTCATTTTATCTGGTGAAAGTGTCTTATTGCATTGCCAGATTGGTTCATTGTTTAGATAAATAACAAAGATAATTTGGTTATTTAAATAAATAATGTTTAAAATGATCTGACAACATAAGTTTCAGAGGATCAAATTACATAAAATAAGTACAAAATGTCTAAAAATCTTATAACATTATTATAACACTCTTATTGAGGGATATTAGACATACTGACTAGATATGAAGATGTTTTCAGTTGATGAGAGTTTTTTGCAGTGTACACTGTTCGGAGTGGTCAAAGGTTTCGTCCGACCGCAGGCTGATATTAGCAGTGCCCTCTGTTTCCTCTCACCGCTCTGCGTCTCTGGGAGGAGGTAGCGCTGTTGAACATGTTAAACACGTCTCAGCCCGGCTGTGAAACCAGGCAGGAGAGGTTACACACGAGAGAAGGTTCACCAGAGACCATCGAGAGGAGTCCCACCGCGTGGAGGTCTGAGAGGGAGATGGACAGCTGGCTCGAGCGAGAGAAACAGATCACCACAGACAGCAAGACGCATCCAGGCAAGCGCTGTTAGAAATGCAGATGCATTCTGCAAACATCACCTTCACACATGCTCAACCACTCATCTCCGTCATCAGCCGGTCGGTACGAAGCAAATCAGTGTGCAGGAGAAACAGGCCTGGCCTTCCACGCTATCGAGCTCGTCTAATACATACTGGAGTTGCAATGGAAGCAATACTCATGCACAGCTCATCTGCTCGTGGATGAGAACTCAAACAGGCAGACGAAACGAAAGGTAAACAAAAAAGGAGATGGATTCTCAATGAAAACAAAACCATCACAACATCACAAATGCAGTGAGCCATAGTGCAGCAAACCCTGGACATCAGTCATGCAGCCTGGAGGAACCTAAAGGTTTTAATTAGCAGGACAAACAACTAAGCTGACTAGGGGACTTGATTCTAGGCCATACATGGAGAAGACCGAGGATGGAGAAAGAAGAAGAAAAGCCCAGACTGAGAAGCCGCTGGGTTCAAAAATACATACACATTCAGTAAGTTATTAAACATCAGACTAACTAGCTATTATACCAAAGTATTGCATGCATCTAAGTATGCAGTCGGTTAAATATTGCCACATGACTAATTATGCTCATATGCACCACAGCCTCGTGGCCTCTAGGGGGCATACGCCAATGGAAATGAAAGGGGGCTGTCTGGAATGAGGGATGAAGGGGTTTAATGGTGGTTCTTGACTGCCACGGTGGGGTCTGGGTGCTTTGTGGGAGGTTTATGGTGGGGTGTTCGGGGTTTCCATGGCAGCATAGTCGGGGTTTATGAAGGAAAAGCCCTCGAACTCGTCTTGGTCGAGGTTCATGATGACCTCCTGGTCTGGGGGAGTGAGAACCGGAGGATGACGCGTGAAAAAACGGTCAAAGTTCTCTGCATCCCGGCCACACTGCAAGAGGGAGAGAAAAAAAACACAAGAGAAGCATGTGATGGATGGAGGGAGGAGAACATGGAGGGAGAAATAAGAACACAAACATGTGGAGAACAATGAGAGAACAATGTGGGTGATGGGTGAACGTGAGGAGGCTGATGGAGGGTCAGGACAACGGCGAACAACATAAACAGGATGAAGCATGAAGCACCTGAACAGCTACACTGAGACGTGAGTATGTGCTTCTGACGGTCACGGTATGTTAACGTGTCGGTAGCATTGACAGCACCATCAACAGTACCTGCAGATTTCAAACCTGAGTCCAGCAAAGGACATTTCTGTGGTTTTACAGCAAAAACAATGACAGCTAACGAGCACTTTAGAGGAAAAGGATATGTTTCATCACCTTTCACACCAGCCGATTACAAAATCAGCAGAAATCTTACAACCAAAAAAGTTGGGACGCTGTGCAAAGTTTAAAACAAAATGCAATGACAGTTGAAACCCTATATTTAATTGAAAATAGTACAAAGACAGCATATCAAATGTTGAAACTGAGAAATTATATTGTTTTTTAAAAAATATTTGGCCATTTTTAATTTGAAGCCAATAGCACGTTCCGAAAAGTTGGGATGGGGGCAACAAAAGGCTGGTAAAGTTGTGTAATACTTAAAAAAACACCTGGTGGTTGATTGACAACAGGTCAGTAACATGATTGGGTATGAAAGAGCATCTCAGAGAGGCGGAGTCTTTCAGAAGTAAAGATGAGGAGGGGTTCACCACTCTGTGAAAGACTGCACAATCAAATAGTGCAACAATTCAAGAAGAACGTTTCTCAACATAAAATAGCAAAGAACTTCTGTTTTTCATCATCGACGGTACAAAATATCATTAAAAGATTCAGAGAATCTGGAGAAATCTCTGTATGTAAGGGACGAGGCCAAAAACCAGTATAAGCTAGCTGTGATCTTTGGGCCCTCAGACAGCACTGCATTAAAAACAGACATGATTCTGTAGTGGAAATCACTTCATGGGCTCAGACACACTTCTGAAAACCACTGTCTGTGAAAACAGTTCATCACTGCATCCACAAATGACAGTTAAAACTCTAAAACGCAAAGAAGAAACCAAATATAAACAGGATCCAGAAACACTGCCACCTTCTCTGGGCCTGAGCTCTTTTAAAATGGACTGAGGGGAAGTGGAAAAGTGTCCTGTAGTCCGATTAATTAGCATTTGAAATTCTTTTTGGAAATCATGGACACTGTGTGCACAGTTCAAAAGCTAGTATTCATGATGGTGTAGGGGGGCATTAGTGCACATGGCATGGGTGATGTGCACATCTGTGAGGGCACCATTAATGCTGAATGATATACACATTTTCTGGCAACATACGCTGCCATCCAGACGACGTCTTTTTCAGGGAAGGCCTTCATTATTAACTGGCCTGCCTGCAGTCCAGATCTGTCACCACTGAAAACATTTGGCACATTATTAAATGAAAAATACTGCAAATGAGCCCCTGAACTGATGAGCAGCTGAAATCCTGTATCAAACAAGAACAGGAAAACATTTCACTTTCTAAACTACAGCAGAGTCTCCTCAGTTCACAAACACTTACAGAGTGTTAAAGAAGAGGTGATGAAACACAGCGGTAAACAGGCCCCCGTCCCAACTAACGTGTTGTTAGCATCAAATTCAAAATGGGCACATATTTTTCAAAAAACAATAGAATTTCTCAGTTTTAACATTTGATGTGTTGTCTTTGTACTATTTTCAAATAAATATAGAGTTTTAATGATTTGCATATCATTGCATTTTGTTTTTATTTACATGTTGCACAGCATCCCAACTTTGGAAGTGGGGTTATAGAAAACAATATGTTCCGACATGACAAATGAGCAGAAAGCAAAAAAGAGAGGTGTGATTTTGGGAACAGAGCAAATCCAAACCTTCCAGGACCATCTGGAGAAGGACGTCACTGTAGATTTCCCTCTCAAATACTTTGCATCTGGCATACAAACCCATCAACACGAAGAGAGAGAAACAAACTGAGGTAAAAGGACCAATAAACAAATCTGCTGGAATGCCGCACAAATCAACATTGAGTTTTCTTAAAAACCCATTTTTAAGGACCCATCTGAGATTCAGCCAATAAAAACATACGTCCTTCAATATAGGCTGCATCTCAAAAGGGTCCCTACCCTACTATAAAGCACTACGGAAGTTCTGAAACTACATCCTTCAAAAATTAGGTTGTTCACGAGTTTCTTTACTACAGGCAGCAATTACACATAAAACTTTGACCATCTGAATGTTTAAAGGTTAAAATGTTCTTCTCTGTGATGGAGAAACTGTACATAGTTCTTTAAAGTTGGTGGTAAGCAAGGATGCATTGGTTCCTACTGTCGCTGCGCTGCTGCTGAAAGAGACAGATGAGGATCAAAACTATGAAACCTACTTTACTTACAGCTGTACAGAAGAGCTTTTCTGACAGGGAACTAAACCTCCACTGCAGCGCTGCTCGATCAGAGATCACTGATATAGCAGAGCGAGAAAACGACCTTCATTAACATCAGATAGAGTTAATGATTCAACCGTTAAGGTTCATTACACTCATTTACACTGACAGATACTTCATTCTGAGTAGGTACTCAGTGTGGTATCAGACTCGGTATCGACGAATACTAAAAAAAATTTCTCATAGTCTGAAAAAAATGTAATCGATGCATCTCTAGGTGTAACCATTAAAGACAGCTGTATATACAGTGGCAGGCAAAAGTTTAGGCACCCCAGGTCAAAATTTCTGTTACTGTGATTAGCTAAACAAGCAAAAGATGACCTGGAGCTGTATTACAGAAACTTCCTTTCTTTAGTCTAGAGAGACTTTTCACAAATTTCTATTACAGAAGTAAATCTGATCTTAATTCAGGATATTTTTCTTATCTTACAGCATCTCATCTCCAGTTAGGAAATCTTAAACTACTCGAGAATCATTGAGAATCATTGCTAAGAGTGTATGACTTTCAGACCCAAATAATCCACTACATCGTGCAGAATCCCTATTGGCTTTGTATCACACATGTAACTCACTGTTGTAAAAGTCATTATTTCATTGCCTACACTGAGATTCAGCCACTGAGTACCGGCCAGTACTGAGTCTGATCCAATATTTGCATTCTGGTAGATGATACAGCCACAAAGCGCACACATCAACCACAGTACAGTCACTAAATAAAATCCAATTTTACGATAAGACGATAAGGCAATGTAACTGGATATTGCTGATGTTGGACAAGTAACTTGATGGTGATGTGTAAAAGGGCATAATCACTGTTTTGGTAAAAGAACTAAGAGAGAATTACAAATTGCCTATGTTATTTGTCTCTGCTACACGCTGTAATGCTGGCTTTACTGCACAGATTCCTCTTCATTTACTTTGTGTGAATGGAATAGAAATGAATGCCAATGTGCTCTGAAACGTCAACCTCAAAGTGACTCACTGCAGTAAAAAACGAGCTAAAATGACTGAAAGTTAGTGTAGAGCAGCTATTTTAACTCTAACCTGGAGAGAAAGTTCCTCTGATCCTTGTCTATGGCTGATGCTCTCAGAAAAAAAGTAATAAACAATATTAAATGAAATGTACACGTAATGTTTTATTCACTTTTAGTCTTAAAATATTGCATAATAATGGGGTCTTTAAAGCTGTGGTAGACTAAACTCCCCACTGTGTCTGTTTTCTGTACAGATTAAGTGCTGAATTATGAAAATGTTGCTGTATGTTCGCCTTGTTTTTCGCCTTGCGGTCTGAAGTTTCTCCAGCAGGGAGCGCTGTCAGCATGCAATTTGCCAGGAATCTGCATCACAAGAAGCTCATGAACACGTTTGTGGTGACGTTTATTATAACAACAGATAAAGTCATTCTCAAAAGATATCCTATTTTCAATATCCTATTTAACGTGAGTTTTATTAAATACCGAAAATAGAAAATATTGTGCTAATTCTTTTCAGATGTCGCCCAGGCCTAATTCACACTGCAAAATTCCACGCTGCAGTTTATTATCTTCTGAAAAGGATCGGAACTGGATTATATAACCAATACTGGTTAATTAAAAAGTCTTTATCAGCTCTGATATCAGTCTTTCAGATCAGATGGGGACGTCTCTAAGAGAGGCCACCACACCGCTCTGTAGGGCTCTACAGAAAGTCCACTGGAGCTGAAAGCTCTCCAGATTAAACCTCCTCTCATTTAGCGGGCAGTGAGTGAATAGGCTAGAGCTGAATGACCCTGTTCTCCTGACCTCACCATTAGCCCAGAATCTCCTGCATAGTGCTCCAGCGGCCAGAGACGGAGCTCTAGGAGAGTATTCACATGGAAATTATTTCATATACAGGAAGCCCACTCTAATATGTATTGGTGTACATGCTTCTTGTGGGAAAAAAAAAATTCCCTCATGGAGAGCAGCCAACTGTCCCCACAACCACGTGCTTTCCTCATCCTGGGGGGATTTGGACCCTACAAAGAGATAAATACACACTCACACACACACTGTAGCATACTGAATAGGGGTCTAAAAGATGCTCTGAGCCCTGCACTGACAAATGCAAATGTGCATCAGGGTGAGATGAGTGCAGGCAAATGCATTAAATCACACTCAGAAGCATCTGTGTACATCAGCCACTCCAATTTAAAAACAATTAAGAGTCCAGTGGAGCGGCCGGCTGCCCCGCTGCCCTTCTGTAACCGCCTTAATATTTCATCTGAAAGTGATTATGGAGGCTGTGACTTACACTACCAGCCAAAAGCTTGCAATCAAATCTTTCCTTAATATAAAACCAATTTGGTTGCAGATGAATGTACAAAATGACCTGAAGCCACTTCACAGATCTCAAATAATGCTAATGAAACAAAAAAGCTGCAAAAAACAAAGGGTCAGTGGTTCCTCAGACTCAGTAGGGTCAATTCTTCCTCAGAGTTAAGTTTTTCAGACTCTGTAGGGTCAGTGGCTCCTTAGAT